TTATATTGTATTCAAACTATCTGATGAAATCCCTAGTTTCATTGGCCAGCACAGAGGGTTGGCACAGCATGCTGTACTGAAGACTGAACCTAGGTCCTTGGGCTTGCCAGGAGGGGACCTACTTAGACTACTGAGCTATCTTCTGCTTTTTAATTAAGCTTGTTTGGATGTTAACGTCATATCATACAGTTATTAATGGGTTTTATTTAAGTGTACAGTTTTGGTTTTTGTTTCTTTTCTATTTTTTTCTTTCTCATCTCTTTTCCTCCTTTCCACCTTTTCTTGGATGATTAAACTGTTTTTCAGAATTTAATTTTATTGAATTGGCACTTATACCTATTGCATGATCTTAAGTTTCCTTATAATGTTATTTTTCTTCAACTTTTCTGTATCATTTCTTATAATCTGATGATAAGAATCTTCCCTGATTTTCTTTTGCCTGGAATGTTTTTATTTCCCCTTCAATTTTGAAGGATTTTCCCAGCCTCAGGACTGAGGATTGAATTAAACCCAGGGGCTCACATGTGGGAGGTGAGCTCTCTACCCCAATCTGCAGCACTTTTTATTTTATTATGAGATAAAGTCTTGTTAAGATACACAGGGTGGCCTCAAACTTGCCATCCTCTTGCCTCAGGCTTTTGGTAGATAGCAGGGACTACAGGTGTGTGTCACTGCGTTAGCTGAGAGAATGAGCTTATTAGAAATAAAAAGGGGTTTGAGAGTTTAGATATGCTGTTTTGCAGTTTTCTGACCTCCCTACTTTCAGATTAGACATCTTTTTCAGTCCTTAAAATTGATTCTCTTGTTTGTAATCTATAATCTTCTCCTCTTTGCTAGTTTCAAGATTTTTTCTTTCTTTTAGATTTTCAATAGTTTTAGAGAGAATATACTTCAACATTATCCTGTTTGGAATTTTCGGATTTTCTTGAACCCAGGAATTCTTTTCTTTTAAAATTATTATTATTTATTGATACAGGTCTTGCTATGCAGCTCGGACTCATAATGATCCTCCTGTCTCAACCTCCCAGTGCTGGAATTACAGGCAAATCTAGGAATTCTTGAATTTCATTATTTTGAGAAATTTGGGGTCTTTGTCCTCCAAATAGTTTTTCTGCCCCATTTTCTCTCTTTTTCACTTTCTCTTTTATAGTACTTGTTACCAATATAGTAGATCTTTTGCAGTTATTTCACGGCACAGTTATTTTTGTCTTTTTTTCTCTTCTCCAGGTAGATTTCTATTGATTTTATCTTCAGATTTATTGACTCTTTTGTCATATCAATTCTTCTGTTAAGGCTATCCACCCAATTTTTTTTAAACTTCAACTTTCCATTTGGTTCTTTCAGTTTGACTTACTCAGCTACTTCCTATTACCGTATTTTACTTGCCGCGATCACATTTTTCTTTCCCTCACTGGGTTTCTACCCTGATGACTCTTTTTTGTTTTTTTCATTTTTGGTGGAACTGGGATTGAACTCAGGCCCTTGCGCTTGCCAGGAAAGCGCTCATTTCACTGAGCCATCTCCCCAGCTCTAGCCTAATGATTCTAATGTCTGGGTCATCCTAGAGTTGACATCTATTGATATCTTTTCCCTTTAAAATTCTCAGCTTTTGTGTATGTCATAATTTTGAACACATCCTGGGCATTGTCAACATTATATTATGTAAACTTGGAATGTTTTGTTTTGGTTTTGGTTTGTTCTTTTACTAAGGGTGTTGGTTGCCTTTGGTAGTTAACCTGATTAAGGTCAAGCTGTGCTTCTTGGAGAAGGCCAGACCTCAGATCTCATTTCACCTGCTGAAGTCTCAGTTCCAAGCCACATTTAGTTTGCTATACACAGGCATGAATAACAAGAGTGCTAGGTTTAAACAAAGGATTAGGCATTTTTTTGGTTGGCCTTCTCCTTTCCAAGATTTTCTCCTACCATCTTGAAGCCTTGGTTGGCACTGCTTGCCTTCGCCTGTTCCTTTGGCCTAAAAGATAATGTGGTTTCAGTTTTATTCTCTCCTGGATTTTTACCACTCAGCCCTGCTTTACTACAGTTGTAGTCATCCTTAGACCAGAGCCACACAATAGTATAAAAACTCATTCTCTTCTGGTTGTACACACCACACCTCTCTAAAATTGCTTGCAGTTTTCTGTCTACGAAGACCTCCAGTAGGTTTTTTTTCCATTTTGTTTTTTGGTATATTTTCCCCCATGGTTATTTTTAGAAGTCTATGGTCAGATACTCCTTCATACCACAGATTGAAAGCCTGCACATCCTTGTTGAAATCTTGTCTGCTTATTTCTGCCAGGCTCCAAGGTCTGTTCTGACTTTTGCCCTACAGCACAGCTCATATAAATCTGACATACTTAGATTATCTCAGCTCTTTACTTGTTTTACCTATGTCTCTGTATAGTCTCCTTGAGATTTTAATAATTCCTTGAAGTAATAATTTAATTTTAAGTAAAATTATTATACATGAAATGCATAGTGTGGTATCTAATATCTATTATGAATTCAGTATATGTTTTTACCCCTCTTCTTACATCAGAGGCTTAAAATGGTATTTTACCTTAATCTGTGTGAAAGCCTCTGGGATCTCATGGACTCTTTTGCCTTTCCTACCTGTCTTAAAAGCCAGTGACTACAAAATCCAGTCAAAATTACTCAGTCAGTGCAAACCTAATACATTTCCAGTGGTCTAAACCAATGGTGGTACTTGCATTCCTGTCTTATCAGGCAGCATAGGATAGTCACATTGTGTGATACAAACTGCCTGATGAGACAGGGCATGTATGGCTAGCTATGAATCTGCTAATGTACCTCAGTACCTACTCTTTGATAGCTCATGTGGATTTTCCATAGCATTTTAAAATCCATGTCCAAAACTGAGTTTTTAATCATTTTCTCTCTCTCTGTCCTCAAATCAACTTCTGCTATGTCTCAGTTACTTTTCTGTCATTGCTGGGACAAAATACCTGGCACTCAAAATTAAGGATGGAAAAGTTTATTTAGCTCACAGCTAATAAAGTTTCAGCGTATACTCAGCTGGTTCTAAGGCAGACTGGTATATGGCAGAGGGCAGCCATTCATGGCACTGGAAAACAGCAAAGAACAAAAGGGAGGACCAGCAGCTGAGGGAGCTAGCAAGCCTCTCTCCCCTCCTTATATTATTTTCAAACTATCCACCCCAGGGGAGGTATAGTGCTCACACCCATAATCCCAGCATTGGATCCTGAATTAATCACAAACTCTAGAAGGTGCCCCAATGATTGCATGAGGCTTTTGGGGGACAACTATACACAAACCTTAACATGCTGTTTCTATAATTGCATATTCAGTTAACAGTACGACTAAGTCACTTAGTTTTCTTAAATATTTTCAGGCTGGGGAAATAATTTAGTGGTAGAATACTTGCCTAGTATGTAAGAGTCCATGGGTTAGCACTGCAAACCAAAACCAAAAGAAACCTTTAAATCTTTTCCTAAATCTCCAAATCTAATTATCAAGTCCTTACATGTCCTCATCTCTGCTTCTGTTGTCCCAGTGGTTTAGGCATTCATTTTACATTGGGCTGTACTGTGGCTCTGCATTTATTCCCTTGTCTTCAGTCTAATTTATCTATATTACTGTTTAAAGCAATGTTTTCTAAAATGAAACTTCTAACATTTTTTTTTTTTTATTCTTAAAACTCACAATGAATTTCCTGGTCCCTTCATGATAAATCCCTATCCCTCTGCAGCCTACACAAAGTGCTGCTCCTCCTGCTTGTGTCTTCCACACTGGCAGGCACAGAGAGCCTCTCTGCACTGCCCAGACTAATCAGCTTTGTGCAGACTCCTGTGCCTTCTAACAGAGGCATCCCCAGCTCCTCCTTTGTGTTCTGGTTCTTTCCTCTTTGTCTTTGAATTCAACCTTTTAATTTCTCACATGTCCTCAGCAGGGAGTCTCTCCATGATCCCCCAGTGCTCTCCCACAGCACTCACATCATGATGCTTTGTCTGTGGTCACTGTAGACTCCTTGAGGGCGAGCTTACCACACACATGTACTTCTGTAAATAGGACATTCACTTTTGTAAAGTAAAGACTATAGGTTTTGTTCAGAAACTAAATGGTTGAGTCCTATTCATTTCTCATTGATCTTGGTCATTTGCATGTCTTTATTAAATATAATAATCATTTCTGAAACGTCTGTAGTATGCTTAAATTTTTTGAGTGTTTACTGACTGAACCAGTATTTTCTTACCAAAACTCTACAACTTAGGCATAGGCTTTTACAAAAACTAACCTATAGTTATGTCTTACTGTAGAATAGTTTTTCACCCCTACCAATGTGGACATTTTAGGCTAGGTAACTCCTTGTTGTGGGGGTTGTCCTGTGGGATGACTAGCAGCATCTCTGTCATTCACCAGTAGATGCTAGTAGCATGCTTCTCCCTGTTCCTGCTCACGACAACCAAAAACTCCATATGTTGCCATGTGTTCCTCAAGGAGCAAAATTGCCCACAGTTGAGAATCATTGCTATAGAACTCTCAGCAGAAACCTAATTTGTGAAATGCCTAACTGCTCTTCCCCATGAGAATCATCAGTGGTTAAAAGCATATGATAATGTTCCAGGTTTTAAAGAATTTCTTTCGATCCTATCTTACTCTGTGGAGAAACAAACAAACAAAAAAATTCATTTGCTTGTCAGTTCATAAATGGAATTACTTTTCCCTTGTTCTTTTCCCATGTTATTCTTTCTCCAAGAGCTCATTTAACCATTAAATCTTAGGGGAAAATGAGAGCAATGGGGGTGTTGAAATTTTTCAGGACCATGTTCTACATATTTTAAGCTTTGAAAATTGCTACTGACAGCAATTAGAGAGAGAGGCAGATTTCTGTTAAGTTAAACTATGTATAGACTGAATTTGATAGAATATGAAAACTGTTAGCTAAAATGTTTCACACATCTCAGATTTCTTGGTGTTGATTTCTCTGCTTTTCCTTCTCCTGCCTTTTTGCTCCCTACCAGGCGATTCATGCTCTTATGGGGAGTGCTGTGCAGCCCTTACTGACTTCGGTGGGAGATGCCATTGAGGCCATAATCATCACCATGCATCAAGAAGATTTTTCTGGGTAAACCTTTCAAACAGAAATTTGCCTTCACTGCTGTTGGTTTTCATTCCTCCCCCAGGCCTATTCTGAAAAGCCCTTGTGAACTAGGCTTACTCCTTTTGGGACAGGTTTTGGCCCCCTATCCTCTTCTTCTCTATCATGGGTGCTCTTAGCATATTTGAGCATTTCTGTTGTTATTTTTCTCATTTCTCTCCTTGACTGGAAACATAGAATGAGTTTACAGGATTCAGCTTGGCATTTTGGAATTTTTGTAGATTACACCACCTTCCTTTTCCAGTCTTAATACTTTCCTTGCTTCTTGCCAGTACCCTCTGCTTTAGACAGCTTGTTGCCCCCAGTCACAGACTTGGTATCCCTTGTATAAAGTGCCCACTTCTGGAACTGTACTATTCTAACTTTGAGAACAAATCATGTGCAACCCCTCCCGGAATGATTTTTCCATTCTCAGAGTTTCTAATCACATTTAATAATAAAATAAAGGAAATAAAATAAAATAAATGATCTCTGATAACACTTTCAAATAGGGGAAGGAAGGTACTGAAAAGGGGATCTCAAAGCAATGAAAGAGTATCTCTGAGAAGGAGACAGTGTACCCACACAAGACAGGAGACCTAACATCTCCTTTAGCATATTTAACCCCTCCACCTTTAACTTCTGCATACTGGCTGCTTTATAAATAACCTTTATGTGTCTTCACAATTCACTACTGTGCTTGACCAGGTAAGAACTTATTCCAAAGCCTTGTAATAGCTAGGAAAATTGAGCTTCAACAATGGCCAAATGACTTTCGACACTACTAAATTAAATCAAGCTTCAAATCATTGGAGTATTGACAACATGCATTTTTAAATATTTTATTTTACTTATATTGACACATGCTTATGGAATTTGGTTTAGTATGTTATTTTCTACTGCTCAAAGAAAACATTGCAACCAAATCAAAACTCTTGAGACTGTTCTCCAGAGCAATATCATGTATAAACTATACTTTTTATTAGCATAAAAAGATATAAAAGACTAACTGTATACAGCCTTAATATGAGACCTATGTCACCTTCACGACACAGAAACTGAAAACGAAGGAATACGAAAGACATTCCTTACCATTTGAAACCGGGCAAGAGCAAAGGTAGATAGTTCTACATAAAATAGATAAAATGCACTTTAAGTAAAAAACTGTAGAACCAGAAAAGGTCATTATATAACAAGTGAGTCAGTCTGTTAAGTGGATATGATGAATATATATATATATATATATATATGCGTGTGTATCCAACATCAGAGTACCTAAATATGTAAAGCAAGTATTAAAGAATCAGAAAGGAACATTGGATTGCTTTACAGTACTCTACCTTAAGTGAGGGACAGATGATTGAGATAGAAAATTAACAAGGGAACCATGGACTTGAATTGTATTTTAGACAGATATATTCAGCAAATTCCAACAGAATACACATTCTTAAACACACACACACACACACACACACACACACACACAGACATAAAAAGAACATAAGGAGACCCAGTCCTAGCACAGGTCTGGTGAGTGTGTGGGAGAGCTCTCTGCCACCCTGCGCTAGTGGGACCTACTACTGGTCCCAGCCCAGGCACAGCGTGGGTGAGACCCTCTTCTACCCCCTTGGGTGGCCCCCCACCACTCCGCAGCACCTCCCCCACCCAGCCCACCGAGTAGGAATTTCTGCGGGCATTCCGGGAACTCCCAGACCCAGTCCTAGCCCAGGTCTGTTGAGTGTGTAGGAGAGCTCCGTGCTACCCTGCGCTGGCGGGACCTACTAGAAGTCCCAGCCCATACGCAGTGTGGGTGAGACCCTCTTGCACCCACTTGGGACGCCCCCCACCACTCCGCAGCACCTCCTGAACCCAAGCCACCGAGTAGGAATTTCTGCTGCTTTCCGGGAACCCCCAGACACAGTCCTAGCCCAGGTCTGGTGAGTGTGTGGGAGAGCTTCCTGCTACCCTGCACTGGGGGTACCTACTACTGGTCCCAGCCCAGGCGCAGAATGGGTGAGACACTCTTCCACCCCCTTGGGACTCTCCACACCACTCAGCAGCACCTTCTCCACCCCGCCTGCCCAGTAGGAATTGCTGCAGCATTCTGGAAACCCCAGACCCAGTCCTAGCCCAGACCCAGTGAGTGTGTGGGAGAGCTGCCTCTCCCCGCTACTCCACCTTGTCCCCTCCAGGCTCAGCTCAGGCCTGGCATACAGGCCTGGGGAGTAAACCTGCACCTGCAATCCCTGCAGAGAGTGTAGAGGATAGAACCACCCAGCTAGTCCAGGAGCAAAAAATCTTGCCAGAGGGGCACAACAGGTTCACCTCAAGGGCAGCAACAGGAAGGAGCTGAACACAGAAGCCAGACCAAGCCCGGCACAGCTGGATAAATCCAAACTATGTAGATCTGCACCTGAACTTCAGTACATGCAAAGGTTATAACTACAATGAAGAGCTACAACAAAGGTCAGAAGACAGTGCTATGCAAAATGACAAGAAGGAACAAAATGCAACCTCAGAACCGAAGCCCACCCGTAACAAGTGCAGAGGACACTAACACAGAACAAATTGGGAATCACACAGCTGAAAGCAATGAATCAAGCCTTCTGAAATAAACAGTTGCAGAAAGGTATAGAGGAACTCAGATTGGAAATAAAAAAAGAAATCCCTGAATTAATAACATTTGCAGTAAAGAATCAAATGCAGAAACATATGGAGGAAACCCACTGCCCACCCAGAACAAGTGCAGAGGACACTAGCTCGGCTCAAATGTATGAATTAAGAGCATCGATACTAAATAAGCAACAGCAGAAAGTTATAGAGGAACTCAGAGCGCAATTCTTTTCTGAAATAAAGGATTTTCAGAACTCATAGCATCTGAAGTAAAGAAGCAACTACAGAAACATAGGGAGGAAAACCAAGCTGAAAAAAACACTGCAGTAAAAGAATTTATAACTGCTTCTAAAGAAGACATTGATAAAAAATAGAGATGAGAAAAATGACAGATTCCTTGAATGAGCAATAC